TCTATGATCTGTGATGCTGTGTTACTGTCCATCAGGTCAACTTGGAGCAGAAGCGTGGTATCTCTCTCTTCCACTATATACCTCGTTGAGGCTTTAATATTCATAAAAAGAATGTTAACATTATAGTAAGATGTGCTAGTCTTTAAAGAATACAGCTCTATACTTGTGGCCACATGAAATAACTGCTCTCCAGATACTCATTGGCAAGTCTAATTTTGAAATATCTGTACTTAAATTCCTATTCAAAGACCCACTGAGAGAAATAATATTGTGGAGGGTTGACTCAGAAAGGATAGGTCCTAAAATTTACTTACAGATTAAGGTAATAATCAAAAAGCTATCTTCCTGTTATTGAACTGGTATCTTACTGAATTTACTTTCAGATTTTTAATTTTTTCTTGACTTCCCTGCACTTCAGGTTTTATTGAGAGGTGTTATAAGGAACGATTCTCTGAATGAGTGCTGTGAGTACTATACAGTTACTGTTGAGATGTTCCTTACAGCTCACAGTGGTTCTCTGAGCTGATTCACAGTAGAAATGCTGCTCCACTCCGTGTAACAGGATCAGGAGACTAAGACGTGTAAGTGTTAATTAACTATGTGGATCATGGAATGAATAACTAATCCTGTTTCTCTCTGTGTGTTGACTGCTATATATCTTATAGCTAAATTTTTATTGAGCTCTAAAATTACTTAGAAATCATGACATATATTTTATGTTCTAACCTCACCCCTGACTGCGTCCCACTCTGCTTACCTTATCTTTTGCCTCCAATTTCTTGTGTTTATCCTGGTGTACTAACTACTTCTTTATAAGCCTCTTTAAATCCTTCCCAATGTAAAACAGAATGTTAATAATAAATGGTGTTTGAATGTGTTGTCTTTCCATTTTATAAAGGCTTTCTCCAAACAATGACTAAGCCAGACAAGGGGCTAACACCGTCATAGTTTGGGATCTTTGGGAAGCAGGCACCGAAATGAGAAGGAGTTTACAGTGCAGGATATTTATTAGGGATTACCCCCGTGGTAAACCCCCAGAGAAGAAAGAGGAATGAAATAGGATTTGACAAAGCAAGAAGGTCAGCTGTAGAGCTGATGAACAGCTTCCACTGTTCTGGAGCCAAAACGGCTCATCAGAGTTATCTTACATTGCGCTGAAAGGGAGGGGCCTTTTAATCAGTCATCAGATATTGGTTGCTTTAGGAAAAGTTTGAGTTTGGGTAAAGTGGCTCTCTGCAGCTGAGGTGATCCCTGAAAGGTCTGATCATTCAATGCTGCTATCTGCTGTAAACACTCCCACCAGCTAGAAAGGCAAACCCATCCCTGGAAAGGGAAGTGTGCCACCCCATCTATCACAGATATCCCAGGTAAGCCAGATAGCCTGAGGAATTCACAACACCCTGGGGAAGTTAAATACCCTTGAGAAGTTATTTTGGTCATAGAGCTATGTGCTAGTCAGATCTTCTGCTCTGCCTAGAGAAAACCTACATTATATCTACCTGAAAGGGCACAAGTTGAGGGATAAACATTTCACACAATATAATGTGTGTGGGTGTGTGCACACATGAGTGTGCAAGGCTTAAAACAACGTACATTTATTATCTCAGTTTCTGTCCAGGTACATCTTAGTGGATCTTCTGTCCATAGTCTCACAAGGCTGTAATCAAGGTATTGTCAGGGGCTATTGTGTGTATATGTGTTTAATATACAGTATCTATGAGTGTCTATTTTGTACTATACACAACCTAGACTTCAGATGTGGACTCAAAGTAGAAGCCATCTCTATCATCTACTCAAGTGTGCATTTACATTTTATGATCCCTGTCATTACAGGATTGTAATAGGGAGCTCTGGGCTCATAGCAAGTCCTCCAGCCTTGTACATTCTTACACTAATGAACAAGAAATGCTACTCTTAGTAAATGCTATATCACATGATATAAAACACTGGACATTTAGGTAATTTTATTTATCAGTGGTATATAATATATAGCTAATGAAAACTTTATTTTCTTATTGACTCTATTTCTAAACCCTTGAAGCAAAACTCCAGTTCACCATATTCTTCCCAGTTTATGAGTATATACATTGTTCAGCTAAGTTGGTGAAAGCAAAACATGGAGATAAATAGAACATACTTGCAGCATATATACTCAAAAGTACTGCTATGTAAAACTTAGCTTGCATTGTGTTTATTGCAAGTGTTACACACAAGTGTTATGGAATATTTTTCATTTTTAACCTAAATAACATTATTTTCCCTTGCAAATATCCATGGTTATTTGTTTGTTCATTTGTGTGTTTTTGTTTGGTTTGGTTGGTTGGTTGGGTTTTCCATTTTGTTTTGGTCATCTTTTTGTTTTTCATTGGCATGCACCTTAAGATCTTCTGGCCTGAGTCCTCCTCTTTCAGATGAGAAAACTAGAGTTTAGAGCGGCTTGATAATTACCCATTTCATGAGAGAAAATTCAGGATTGGAATCCAGGTTTTCCAACTCCTACTCCAGTATTTTTTCTCCCCTATTGTTCCATTCATTGGTATCAACAGCTCTAAGAAATCAAGAGCACCAAAAAATTTCCAGTGCACAATGTCCGTGTTGGCAAGATAGCCCTTCTATTATCCCCTTTCACAAATGATTTTTTTTTAAATAGCTCCCTTGAGTGCATAGTTGCAACGATTGAAGATGAGCTTTGTTTTTACTACCAATGTGTGTGTTTGACATTAGTCATTAATACAGTCTTCTCTCAGTTGCTAAGTTTCTTTATGTTGGTGAATAAAGACTTGACAAATTGTTAGGCAAAGAGCATACACTTCAAAACTATTGAGATATACCTGAGTATCAGACAACCTAGGAAATACAAAGACTGAAGAGATGTGCACATCAGCTTATTTTCATTCATCAAAAGGAAATGCAGCTTAAGTGGGGTTGACTTTTTGTGACATTTATTTAGTTCTTGAATTGACTGACAAGCCTATTAATGTAGTCCCTGAACTTTATTAATGTAATTGGAAAACTGCCCACATGTCAATCAACTTCTAATGAGTAATTATGTTCATAAATACTGTAAAATTATTAGCTTTTAATTTGACCCAAACACATACTTTCAAAACAGTAACACGAATATTTTTTCTAGAAGAACAAAATATTATACTAATAAAACATACAGTAAATGTGTTCCTACAATGCACTTCTTAAAATGGGAGTTCAAAAGTTCACCATCACCAAATGGCCAACAAAATGGAATGCCATACTAGCATGTAACAGTGTTAAAAAATCTGTACAGTGTTAAACCATCTATGTAGCATAGTTATAAAGACATCTTATGAAAATCAAACATGTGTCTGAGCAGGGCTCATAACTCCATATATCCATAGTCCGGTTTAAAAATATAAGCCTATTATGGAACAAGCCAGAATGGAAAAAAAGAAAAAGGGGGTATATTTAGTGTCCAGAAAAACATCATTTTAAACCTATTAAGAAGCAAAACGTCCATATCTCCAATGACTCAAATATAATTATTATCTAAGTGTACTTTTTTTCTCATGTAATAAAAATTTTTTGTAGTCTTTGAGCTAGCAATTCAAGTCAAAGGGTGCAAAACTAAACAAGGGAACAAGATTAGGCTTGGATAACAGAAGAAATGTGTTTTTGACTTGTAATCCCATGCCAGTTTCTGAAGCTGGACAAATTCCTGCCCTCTAGAATCTCTGGATAATCTCTGAATAAAGATAGACTTCAGTGAAAACTTTATTATATTCTCATATGACTTTAAATAAAGAACATTACCACAGTGTGCAATGGTCTGTAATAAGAAAAACCACTGGGGAAATTTCCAGGCTTATTGTTTACCTTACACTCTCCTCCTTAAAGTTAATTATTTAATTAATACATTTAAACTTTGTCATGAAGTAAAGATATTTACTAATAACTGAAGCTGTATTTGACTTCAGGCTTACCTTTATATAAGGAAATAAAGCTCCAGATGTAAGTGAATAAAATTCCAGATGTAAGCCATGTACCTAAATTAATTTTTAGAGTTGAATTTTTGAAGGGTAAACTCAAAGATAATACAACTAACTTGCTCCTTCAGCTTTCTTATTAGGAATAAAACATGCACTCACTGGCACCACATTATCAAATAATTTCTTATTAATTTTACTTAGAAATGCTGCAGTGTCATTTTAAGAACCACAGCATGATATTTTTATGCAACCAACACATGATTAACCTATAAAGCACAAGGAAATAATGTAAAAGGGCAAGAATATGCATTTTCTATTTGACTAGCATTATAATTGTATTTTTCTTGAAAAGTATTTATATCAGGGATAAATATGCTCTTAGATTTTAGTATGCATAAAAAAATAAAATAACTTGATGATTCTGTTTGTACTTGGAGATTGTAAGTTAGCTAGAATGACTTATAATCTACCAAAAGTAAATCAAAGTATAAAGTAAAGCATCGTGTACCATATTTTTCCAATTACTCCATATTCAAATAAACTAATTCCAGAAGGCTGTTTCTTTCCATTGTGACTTGAATCAAAGTAAGCAGAATTTGGATTGAGCACAGTGTTGGAAGTCGGGAGGATTACTTTTAAAGAGTTACTATAGATATTTCAAAAAGTTCTAATATTTTAATGTATCCATCATGGGTTATCAAACATTAATTTTAATGTATCAATCATGGGTTTTCAAAGATGTATTGAAGGGGTGACTCAAAGGAAGACACTAAGTGAAGCATACACAAAAAAATCATAATGTGGTGTTAATGGATAATTTTTGATCTTGGTAAGTTAACGGATCATTTTTGATCTTGGTAAGGATTTATATGTCTATAATAGCCGTTGCACTTAATGGAATCTAGGAACATAAATCCCTGAAGACAATGACTATGTATCTTTCAACATTGTCAGTTACTCCTGAGTCATTTTGATATCTAAATATTGAACATTGTTAAATATAGTCCTTCACAATATAGCAGTTATAGAAATGCATACCTTGCACAGTTAGATGCACCTGCATTGTTCTTGGTGTATGTTGAGTCTGAACAGAACACGTGTATGGGCCATCATCTGTCACATCCACATTCTGTATCTGGAGGCTGTAGTCCCTTTTATTCAATGTTGAAATTGAAACTCGAGGATCCACTGACCACTTATCACCTCCCGCAAAAATAATACTTGACCGGTTCAGCCAGGCACCCTTTGAAGCTCCATCTTCCAAATAACACCTACAAATTACCAGAGACAGAACACTATTAATCAAAATGAAAATGAAAGACAATATTATCTTTGTTCTGAGTGCATTTCCATATGCTGAATTATAGCGCTGCATCAAATGCAAACATCAGACATAAATGCAGAAAATATGAACATATGAACACACTGGTACATCTTCCATTCCTAATGCAAATGTGAAACAATGCCTGCATACAATTGTTTTGTTTTAAATGTGTGTGTGTGTTTTAACTCAAAGCCAGTCAAAAATCCTTTTTCGTTCTGTCTGGATGACCAGTAAATTTCAATAAAGCGAAATTCCTTCAAATAATAATTTCAACATTAAAACATTTTTTCTTTGAAATTATAAGAAGTAGAAAGGGTCCACCAGTTAGCTTGTTTTTTTTTCCTGTTTTTTTTTTTTTATGTTTAATGCTTTTATTAATAAATAAACAACACACGGCATCAGGTCCAGAAAACCAAATACAGGCTGGTGGAATTATTACTCATATAGGATGGATGTCCAAACATCTAATTCTACCTTGGAATTCACCAAATATACAGTCCTTTCCCCCAGAACACTTTGATGTGCAAAGGTATGTCATGGATTTGAAGAAAGACAACATTTGTAGAGATCTGAAAGAATGGAAGATCTCCTAGGGTGGAAAAGATAACGTCCCTGACCTTCCACCAACATGCAGGTTATGGCAGTCCTCTGGCCAATTAATGCATGTTCTTTTGTTTTGTTTAAATAGTTTTATCAACTATAAAACACTTTAGATTCATAGAAAATTTGAGAAAATATTACATGGTTCCCATATATCTTCTCACCAAATTGCCCACATTATTGAACATCATATATTAGTACATTATGATATATTTACCACAATTAGTAAATAAATACTGATACATTATTAATGAAGGGGGGAATCAGAGGGGGAGACAGAGCATGAGAGACTATGGACTCTGAGAAACAAACAGAGCTCTAGAGGGGAGGGGGGTGGGGGGATGGGTTAGCCTGGTGATGGGTATTAAAGAGGGCACGTACTGAATGGAGCACTGGGTGTTATGCACAAACAATGAATCATGGAACACTACATCAAAAACTAACGATGTAATGTATGGTGATTAACATAACATAATAAAATAAAATTTTTTAAAAAAGCACTTGGTAAAAAATTAAGGAAAAAAAAACTAAAGAAAACTTAAGAAATCCGAATAAACAAGTTAGCCTGTTTTAACCAAATCCAATTCTACTATAATGTACTAGATACTAGATGGAAAGCATAGAATAGTACCATATCGTGTTTATTTTTTTTAAATTATGCATTTAAAAAGTGATAAGACTGTACACTGAAATTATAAACGGCATTTTACTGATAATATTGCCATTGCAAGTGAAGAAGACAAGGCTTATATAGTACCTTTAGTAGCAAATTCTTGCTGTCTTTTCAATAAGCCTACCGATAGTCTTTCCAGGAAGCATTCATTTATCCAACAAACATTTATGAAGCTTCTACTATTTATGGATTTAAAAAATGGTAGTGCCCTTGCTCTCCAAAAGTTTTAGTCTAGTAAGGAAGACAATCAAGCAAACCAATCAATACTAGACAGAAAAATTATTTGATTAAATCAGGCACAAGCTACAAAAAAAGAGCTACTTGACTCAGAAGGGACTTGGGGGGTACAGAATAGGCTTTAAGGAATAGGAAATGCCTTGACTAAAGAGGCAAGGAGTGGGAGACATGACATTTAGACAGAGGTGCCATATGTGAGTAACACCAGAGAAAAGTGTGAGAGAGGAAGCCAAACATTTCAAGAACAAACAAGCATGGAGTATAGGGTGGAAGGAGTGAGAGATGAAATTGGAAAGGCAAACTAAAGCCAGATGATAATAGAAAGGGTGATGACAATTAGCAGACTTTAAGGCCAATTTTGAAGCCATTTATTCAAAGTTGTATTTTATAACAAGATTCAAAAATATAGCTTTGTATCCAAGAGAAGTCAGACATGATTTAGAACAGAAGAAGGCTGTGGTCATATGTCAGTGATTTTGCTGAAGCCTGGAATTCTATGTTTCATCTTGAAAATGTTCTGATACAAATTAAAGACTAGGTTTCTTAAATGAGTACAAAGCACAGAATGAAAATACACATACATCGAAATAGTTTGACAGCATTTCTACAGAACACCTTGGGGGATTGAACACAGTGTGTGAGATTGCTACAAAATTGCAAGCTGAATGCAACAGGGTAGGCCGCTGCCAACTGTATAAAACTAATCAGTGGGTGAAAAAATAAGGAATAAGGTACAGTGCAGAATCTAATTTGCAGTCAGCTTCACCATCTACAGAATCCAAACTAGTAAAGTCATAAAGGTCATTGTTAATTGAAAAGCTTTTCCTTATGTAATTAATGAAGAAAATAAAACCCACTCTAATGATATAATTAAACAATTATGGTATATTGTCATTCTTAATGATATGCAGAAAGAAGATAGAGGGGACATATTTCCCATTTCACAAGATCATGTGTCTACTGGTATAGGATAGAACACTGAATCACCACTACTAGGACTCTGGCCATTACAGTGCTTGTATATAATATATGGGTTCATCAAGTGTTTATTGTGTGACCTCTGCATTCATGGCCTTCACACATTATCCTATCTGGTGCTCATTACAACCCTCTGGGGTATGGACTGCTATGCCCAATTCATCACTAGAAAATAAATGGAATGTTTAGGTTAAATGACTTGCCCAAGCCACACTATTTAGTGAGTGACAAAGTAGAATTCATAATTAAGTCTTATATTTCTATGTTCAGTGTCCTTTCCTCCATAATGTAGATCAAAGACTTTAAAAGAGGTTTCAGAAATGGAAAGATGATCAGAATGTTGCAGAAATTACCACAAGTAATTTCTTATTTACTAAATGTGACCAACTGTTTAACCTGTCCTATTCTAAAGGAAGCAGAAAATTAATTATTAATGCATGTTTTACCATGAAAGTTTGATTTAGAACACTCTGCCGGGCATTTTCCTTTCCCTTGAGGTAGAAACAGCTTTACCTTTATTTGGGGAGGTATCAGGAAGACCACAGAAATTAACTAGCCTTTAGATCCTAGAGCTTTCATAGACCAAATCCGGGTTACAATTCCTGGTCTTAGCATAAGCACTATTCCTCTGTTCTGGTATATTAGGGATCATCAGGGAAGAACAGAATTTAACTTCTTCCCTGTGAAAAATGAAAAGAGAGCTTTTTATGTCTCTTTGCTTGGATAAGTGTATTTCACAATTGTTATTGGTCCTGATCCAAAGCTTTTCAAGATATACATTAGGAAGACCCTTGAATGAGACTCAACTAAAAAACAAAAACAACACAAAATTTTTTTTCTATTACTTCCTTGGATTTCTGTAGCATTATTCTCAAATTACACTATTGAGTTACAATTTAGTATATGTGCTGCCGAAGCGAGCACTATTGAGTTACAATTTAAATAACTCAAATTACCATAACGGAATTTTACAAATTGGGAATAGCAAGATCTAGGAATGGCTTTCTATTCTATAAAATCATAAGATACTTATATAGAGACATACAGTTTTAAGGTGAACCATGAGATGATTATATCAAATATATGAAATAGGTCAAACACGCACATAAGCTTCCTTAATCGTAAGGACTACATCTCCTACCTGTCTACCTCCTCTATGTTCTTCATATCCACCCTAGTTTTGTGGGTTTTTTTTTTTTTCCTTTGCAATAGAAAGAGATACTGCCTAACAGCTATATAATGTATTAAGAAGGAATTCTCGAAGGAAGGAAGATATTCAGGGTATGGCAGAGTAGGGCAGGTGTGTGGGGAGGGGTGAAAGAAGTATGAGAAGTGGTGATAATTTAGTTTTGCACTCTTCAGGCACCAAAAAATATTTTTCTGGTTTCAGAATTCTAATGTCTAAAAATATAAATATGTTGGAATCCTGGCCCATACAAAGTTCAGAATTCTGGAAGAATGCTATAGTATATTCATTAATAGCCATCGTGCAGAATAGGAAGTGAAAATATAATAATTAAATTGTTATTATAATTGGATTATTACAACTGCCTCAGAGTTTCTGGTTTCTGCCCCCTTGACATCTATAGCATAGTTTATTTTCTCTACAATAAACAGAATAAATTTTTTAGAGTTTAAGTCAGATCATCAACATGCCTTCCTATTTCATTTCCTATTTCACTCATAAGAAAAATTCTAATCCTGAGAGTGGTCAAAGAGCTTATGCAATCTTCCCTTCATGCCCTTCTGACCTTTCCAGCTGCCACTCTTCTCCAGTTGATTCCGGTCTAGACTGCCGTCCTCTAGCTGTGCTTCCAAGTCCTGCAGGCTTTTGCCCTAGGAAGTCTGCATTTGCTGTTTTTTTCTGCCTGGACCTCTCTTCCCCCAGAGATCTGCATAGCTTTTTCACTATCTTCCTTTACTGAAGTTCCTAATGTATTAAATAGCAAAAATAACACCACTGCCACACTCCCATGAAATGCATTATCTGTTTAGTTGATGGGTTATTTTCTCTCTCCTTGCTAGAAGTAACATTCTGGACCATTGTCTATTTGATCACTTCTGTGTATTCCAGGGGCCCACATATAATTGAAAATAAATATAAATAATAAATATAAATATTTGTTGAATGGATGAATGAAGGCAAAAATTAAGATAGTTTTAGAAGAAGGAATAATATGGTAAAGTAAATCAAAATTTCCAAAGTGCAGCCTCATTGGGAAAGCAAAGTCATGCCCACATTAACATATGATAACATATAATTAAATGCAAATATCTGTCGTACAAACAGTGACTGATGTATGATACAGAGGATGAACTAAGCAATCTGAAACAGTGGGCGGGAACCAAGTTCTGTGAAGAGAGCAAAATGGTAGGTATGGGGCAGAGGTGAGCTGGGCTCATAACTTCTTGAAATAAGAAAGAACCACATTTGACCCTATACTCTGGGAACCACTTTA